TTGAGCAATGTAAACAGGCTTCACTGCCACCGTATCGACTTGCTACTTCCTGGCATGGAGAATCGGATACGTTTCGTGAAGCATTTCATCACGGGAAGAAAGGTTCCTCGTACAGACTATTTTCGTTACCGAACAGTGGGTCCCTGTCAGCTGTGGCCAGTGTACGGCCTACTGCCGGTGCGTACCTCTCTCTCTTCGCCAAAATTTTCTCGCACTAACGGCATTCACTTGTTAAGCTTGCAGTAAATCTGACTCTTTTCAACCGCGGAATCCGGTCATGTTAGAGTCAAAGGACATGGACATAAATTATGTGCTACAAATGGGTATGTTACAATGACATTATGTCCAACAAGAGTGATGAGAATAAGCTAGTTCCTATGGTAAAACAAGCTTAAGGGTATGCCATGCAATTCGAGCCATGTCCGAGGTGGGGAGAGTATCTAATATCAAGTCTTAAGCTTCCCCAACCACCCCTTCAGCCTGGCCTTCTCTGAGTTGTTGTCAGGATCCGGAGAAGGAGAACGAGAGGGAGCAGATTTCGGTGATGGTGGCTCGAGGTAACACTGGCTCTTCAAGTCAGACTTTTCAACTTCCTCGAGCGGGTACTCTGGAGGAGAGTCGACTTCCAGGATGGGCTGCACGACGATGTCGATGATCTCGTAACGAGATAACGTCGACATAACCGTTGGCCATGACATTGGGGAGATACGGACACTTCGCGTCTCATGATTAACAACGGAGTTGATGGAAAACGAGATCTGTCTGTCATTGACATGTCTCAATTTTTCCGAGAACTGACTCCTCGCGAACTTGATAGCCTCCTACGGAAAGGGGCTGATTAGGCTCCTCGTAAGACTATGGAAAGGCCAACGTACTTGATGGGATGCGGCAGGTGGCACGTACACCATCTCGCTCTCGTAACGATATGTGACAGTATCTGGGGTCGAATATCTCGACGATGATTGTTTGTGGCTCATAATACGGGAGATGGATCCGAGCGATTGGAGGCTTGAACTAGTGCGGAGGTGCGATGGTGTTCGTTGAGGGCGAAGAGAATGTTTTATATAGTTGAACGCTGTGATAATTTCATTCGGTCGGTGGTCATCGCAAGATACATCGCCGGACAGCATTAATGGCCGTACAGTACTGCAGGGGCGGTGCTCTCACCGCCACGAACGGCGTGTACAGGCTGTCACAGCATGAGCGGCAAATCAAGGGGCGGACAGAAATAAATTTTTAGACCGCATGTCACAAATCTCAGTTAAGGATACCTTAGCCCCGTGTGAACTTCCCACGACCTAAAAGGCAAATATTGCAAAACATACGAACATATGTTTCTCTTCAGCACCATTAATGATATCAAAAGAAAATATTATATAATCTGTATGTCAGTATAGATATATTACCTCAGGAAGAATATGGTATACCAGTGTACGACATATGATAATCTATAAATTAATACCCACGCATGTCATCGGCGTGTAATATCGCCCAATATTTTCTGTCACTAGTACTGTGACCGAGGTCTAGGCAGTGCACTATGAAAACATGTTCTGTGTCACTATTTATATACCTGAATTTTACCTGAAAACGGCCCATATCTGTAGCAAGAAGCCGTGAGAAATCATTTATTGATCAAAAAATAAATCTCCGTTAAGGACGTCCGAGCCCCCCCCCCACATAGGGTCTCGGCATCTCCCGTTGTCCGCCCCCTTGCGGCAAATGCTAGACTGCACAGTCACGACACGGCTTGCACATAAATGCTCGGTCTCGACAAAATTCTTCGGCGTGCTATCCTCGCAAAGCTCTACTATCGAAGAGGAAGAAATATAATTCCCGGACAGCTTTCAGATTCTATGCAGGATGCAACGCGCGCCCTGCTTTCACTGACAATATGTAATTTTTCGTACGCGTACTCCGCATTGTCAGCGGCACAGTCTGAGCCTTTAGTACGTTCCCGGTAAGTCCTTCCAGTATCCATGCTTTGTTACCTCGCACTTCCACCATGCGAATATGCCGTGTTTCATGCAATAGTCAGGTACAATGGAATGGTTCATGACAAGGAAAAAGATCCATGTGGAGACGTATGCCTGTATTCCTAGCCTCGACGGCCGTTCTGGTATGGCTCTTACTCTGCGCCGCTCTGGATTGGCACACATCCTGCTGAGGGCTGGTTCAATCATTATTCATACCCGCTAGCAAGCTGAAGAAGCCGGTTCCTCCCGTTGGGGTTGCTGAGGGTATCCTGAAACCAGCACCCTGAGACAACTTTTTACCCTTCATCTTCCTATCACGTCCTCTTTTTTCTTCCGCAAAACTGTCGTCCAAACTGCCCAAAAATGCATGCATGAGCTCTGTTGGGAGCACAGGCTGAGGCTCGTCTCTGTTCGCCTGCAGTAAGAGATGAAATCTTCGACCCGAGAAGTGGCGTAGAGGACTGGGTACACGATGTGCCAACAATAACGTATGCGACAACAGTGTTATAGCTTCCAATGCTGCAGAAATTTGGGCCATTAACTGAATGCTTCTGTCTTCGATCGTAGAATTGCTCAGCTCAGGCTCTTCCTCCGAATCTAGTTGATGTGAACCCGAAGGTACCGGCCAATGAAAGCTGGATATGAACGCCATTGCCTCTCTCCTGGTCCACATTTCCTTCACTCTGTCACGTACATTGCCATTTTGTACGGCGCGAGAGTGCATCCGGCGGACAACCCATCGGAGAGCAAGGGCCGCCATCACAAATTCTTTGTCCAAACCGCGCATCAAAGGTGTGTCGGCTGTCAGGATGTGCAAAAGGAGACTGAAGCGTGCCTCTTCCGAGCATAATTGTATGGGACCCGCCGTATCGAAATCCGGCATGCTTTCCAACAACGATGATAGAGACTGTGCAACCACTTCTTCTGGTGCAAGTCGCGTACCTCTGCGAACGTACTCGGTGACAATTTTGGATTCTTTCCGGCGTCTGGTGCGGAACGATGCTGACGTATCAGCAACAGAGGTACTCTCAGACGGTTCAAGCTTGCGCAAGGCGTGCTGGAGAGGTGACAGGGGGTCATCGTCAATGGTCTCTTCATCCGATTGTTCCTCGACAACGTCAATCAGCTCATCTTCACCTTCGTCCTCCGTTTCTGCGTCGCCCTCTTCGTCGCCCTCTTCAAATTCTTCGCTCGATCGACGTGGTAACCCAACGCTGTGGTCGAGTATAGCGTAGCACCATTCCCGGATAGGCCCTCCGATGGATCTTGCGGTGTTCTCAAGATCGGGATTTTCGAGAAAAATACGAGGCCAGCATGTTGCAGTACTGATCAGATCCAGTATTCGCGGTGATAGATCGCCATCTCTGTACGCAGCGATGTATAGTGCAGCCACTTTTGCGGCTTGTTCCCCAGCAACGTTGACAGTTACTTCCGTAGCTGAGTGGTTTATCATCTCCCACGCTGGACAGGCCGTAGGATGGTGCAAAGCGCAGATATTTGTCGGCCAAAGACCTTCTTCGCCCATCTGCGTACCTTCAGACCTCGAGATAGCGTATTGCAAAGTAGTCTCCACAATTTTCTCCACAATGTCCTCATGTTCTCCTGTGGAGAGCGATGTTGGCCCTCGCAACAAAAGAGCTGAGACAGTCCCGTCAATCAGATCCATGACATTGCTTAACTGATGCTTCTGTTTCCGTTTGTTGGAAGAAGCCGCGGACAAGATGGTTCGTAATGCCTCGGCGATGTGGGTAATCCTGCCTGATGGTGTGAGGCGCCTGTCAAAGAAAAGCGAGCGAAAGTCTCTCTTGTTCACGACTGTCAATGAAGACCTGTTATAATCATTCCCGACCAGTGCACCTAACAATGGCAACAGTGTCGTGGGGATTCGAAGATGGCTTGCCAGTGTCATAGGGCTGTAGACTGGCAGTGTCATGGAGAGATCGGTGATGTCGTCCGGGGGAATGAGACCTAGTCTGCTCTTGCCGTCACTCCTTGTCTTTTGCTTTGCTTTCTTGCTCACGACGACCTGGAAATCGCCGGTATGTTCGTTATCTCGCTCGTCCTGATACGATGACATAGAGGTCCACACAACCTCGCTCATCGGTATGTACCCCAAGTATCCTTCAGAGTTGAGGACGACGAAGTCAGAGTCATTGCCAAGTACATAGCCCCCGATACGCCCCGCAAGTTCGACAGCATAAGGATCTCCCTCTTCATCTGCAAAGTGAATTTTGAGTGCGTCATTGGACTGGGCGATCTCTTGCAAGGCAGCCACGCAGACGCCGTAGCACAGCGGAGGAAGCATCTGCGACTCATTCAAGAACCTGGGACTGGACCGAGAGCCGGACGATGTCCTAAAAAATAGCAAGGAAGGCCGGATGACTTTTTCGTTGACCCGGCCCATAAGCGTTGAGAACTTGAGAGCGGGATATGGACCTGCGATCGTGTAAGTCGATGCACATTATGCAGTGATGGAAGAAGTAGGTATACCATCAAAAACAAAAAAGAGCGTCGCTCCGATCTTCATCCATGCCTGGACTACGTCTTGAACGAGTTTCGCAAAATCTTTATATTCACCTCCGAAGACCCACGGAAGACCAGAGGCACTGTATAACTCATAGATGAATCTGAAATCGTCAAGGTTGATTGATCAGAAGCTACAGGCGGGCTTGCGAAGATAGATGACTCACGACCATCCGTCAACTACAACCGTGATAGGTCCTTGATCAGGGCAGACAATCGTCTTCGATAAGGCGGTTCGGTTCTCCCGAAGGTAGGTCGTCAATCCGTTGACTCCCATTACGTCGCGATCTCAACTCGAGAAAGATCTGAGGAGTTATGATAGCACTTCTTCCGGTGGTTTCCCAATCTCTTCGTCTTTCAGATCACGATCGACGGTTGCAGTGGCTGGAAAACCTTGGTCTCGAGTCAGAAAATTCGAAATTTCAGGCGTCTCCGTTCCATTGGGCGGGTTTGGATATAATTTCCAAGCAATAAAGGAGGGTAAAAGAAATACACAACATCTGACAAGAGTGGGATTCGAACCCACGCCCCCGAAGAGACTAGCAAATTACGATGACATGAAATTCACCTGAAGCTAGCGCCTTGGACCGCTCGGCCATCTTGCCCTCAAGATGGCTACGTGTAATGTGGTCTATACCGCCACGTTTACAACGATACATTCACCCCCACGAAAATTCCGAACCAGAGTGGTTATAGCGAAGTCTATAGACAAACCACCATAGGAGTGTGCTTTCACTCGTCCGATATGTCCAGCACCGATCCGCTAAGTCGCAACGGTGAGTGAATATAGGTTCACCCAAGGAACCACGACGCAGGAAGCGGTATTCTGTCCCAAGAAACGTTCAGTGGAATATGAACTCCATCTCTTTGATCATGCAGCCTACAGTCCCCTTCGCATATCTCTCAATGAGTACGAGTAACTGATCGACAAGCACAGGTTCAGGAAACGATTCGTCAAATCGCTGCGCGTGCTCTTGTAAAAAGCCTTCGTTATTGTAGAGCTGCTGGTGGGAGAATCTAAGGTGCAGTATATCGGTCAATAGATGAGATGCAGTGGGATCCCATAGACATACCCCTTCATGACCCAGGCCTCTTCAAGTTCAGTTTCCCATTTTGAAGCCTTGTCCAGGAAGGCGAAACAGCCCTTTCCTATCTCTTGTAACCGCCGTTGATCATCTTCGCTGAGGTCGAGTTGGAACATTCGACTTGACTTGTCATTGGTGAACGATGGAAAGTACTCCCGTATGTAGTGCCCGAGTTGATCTCCTTCAGAGTGTTTCCACAAAGAATGAATATGCTATACTGAGTCAGTGATCATACACGCTACGATACAGGGGACTCACTTACTAGCTCGCAGAGCTTGAAAATGACACCGATGTATATTGTGCGAGCTGCTGTTGCCCTCCGCTCATCGACGATACATTCTATAATTTCGCGCTCTTTCTCAGAGAGCAACAGTATTCCATCAGACTTTTGAGCAGATGTGGTGTAATATTGGTTCCATGCAAGAGCATCGCGAGCAGCCTTCACAGCTCGCTGTCGAATAAGCTCGATTTGGGCCAATAGATCCAACAAGGATGGTATTTGTGAGCGTATCAAGTCTGGGTTGATGATGTTCTCGACAGCATATACGAGAACGTACAGCGGGGGACATGAAGCAGGGTCCACGATGCTAATGACATCTTCGGTTATATAACCTTATATGAGTGAGTTGGTAAGGTCCCTTTCTCTTGCATCATGATAATTACGCACTATATATCTTTCTGTGCGCCTGTCTGTCATACTGATCGTGAAAATTCACGTCCTTGATCCGTTGAACTAGTACATCCATATGGAAGAGGCAGACGCGAGTTGTCACGCGGACGTGACAGTATTATTGCACCTCTCGTCACGACGTCACAACAAACTTCGGACGAGCGCGTTTGATTTACTGCTGAGAAGCAGCTTGCGTCTGGGGTGACACCAGATTTGATACGGGTATGTCCTAGCGTGGATTAGTGGTTGTCTGATTTCTCGCTCATGCTTTCCCTAAGTGTCTGCTGGTATCGAGAACATCAAGGACATTATCGCCGACTTTGAGCAAGCTTTGAAAGTCGTGCCCTGAGGATGGTGTTGATATTAGTTGAAGTGTATCACATATGTATGAGTATGCTATCCTAGCGCTTCTCGTGCGATCCCGACCTATGGTGCCCATTTTTTTGCAATTCGTTGGCAAGGTTATACTGTGCTTGAGTGCCCATACTACAGATCGCCGATTAATTCGATAAATAAACCAAGCTCGCATAAATATATTGTTGTAGAGTCATATAACATACAGTAATGCAAGTATTTGCACGATTATGGCGCGTGAATATATAAAGGAATCTGACGACAATTGACGAGTAGATACACAACATAGACAAAACCTAAGGGCTCCTGCGACTCAGACGAGGTAATTTACTGGTAGCGGGTCTGAGGCTACCCAGCATTTCACAACTGTCCCCTTCCGTGGACTCGGACGTTCTGCTCGTCCCAGGCCTCGTCTGAGTCGCAGGACCTTCACATGATGGTAGCATCTGGGTGATCAGGTCTTCCACCTTCTTCGATTGACTAGCTCGCCCGGAGCCGACGTTCCCCACATCACCGTGATGCGGAGCTGGAGCCACATTCCTGGACGAGGATTTCGTGGTAACAGCGCCAGCTGCACTCTTCGATTGCGAAGTACTGCGGATGGTTCGTTCTGGTGTCGGCGGCTGAACCTTGCCCGTCTCACGTTCTCGGACGGCTTCATTCTTCGAGTCAGAGCCTGGCACCAAGGAGTTGGAACCCTTGGCTTCAGCGCGAGATTTACTAGCATCAGGAATCTGCGTATTAATGCGAGGAGACGATGGTGGTTGAGTCGCAGTACCAGCCTGAGACGATGCCTTCGAAGAAGATGACAAGATCTTGGACAACGATCTCGTAATAATAGGGCCCGAGATACTCGTCAATTTGGAAGGGCTCGGGAGGGTACTTTCCCCTGCCAGTGGTTGAGCCTTCCCCTGTTCGCCACCAGCTTTTGTCTTGGATTGACTGCTTTGCACCGACGAGGTCGAACCTTTGGCAGCAACGCCAGATTTGCCAGTACTGTCCATCTTGGTGGAACGAGGAGCAGATGTCAATGCCATATTTCCCAAGCCTTCCATGATATTGGCTACCTTCACGCTTGTCCTCGAGGTACTGGAGGGGAGCACGCCCCGCGACGAAGACGGAGCCGGGCCCTTGCCTTTGGTCTGAGAAATTCTCTTCTGTTGACTCTTGGCAACGCTGGACTTGGTCTGGCTGACATTCTGCTTAATCGTCTCCAAGATGTTTCCTCGCGCGACCGTTTCCTCCTTCTCGCTAGCGCTGAAGCGGACAGCACTGTCCGCAGTTGGCCAGTCGTCACATTTCAGTGCCTCCTCAAACTCTTTGATGACCGTCTCGTGAGTGAGCTCAGGAAGAATGACTTTCTGCTCCGTCAGTTCTGCACGTAGTACCTTGTTGATATAACGAAGAGACACGAGATATTTCAGACGCTCCAGTAAACGGGTCAGTGGCTTGTTTCCGTGAACGACGACTTCAGCATTGCAAAGAAAGGAGATCTTGGAAGTGCCGTTCTCTCCGTCGAGGATACGGGTGACGCATTCAGACCCCGGTCTTGTCTTACCCCATTCTTTGACCTCGCATTCAGTGTGGCGAAGGACGACCCATAGGAGAACCCAGTAGCCGGACTCGATGTCATGATGCAGTTCATGGTTGCCCGGGTGCTCCTCGAGACGATCAATTGCCAGAAATTGAAATGTTCCCTGATGATTTGTATTAGCTGAGAAACCGCAAAGACGGGAAGATGTGACCCACAGTGATATAAGTCAAGTTGTCTTGAGTAGGGGACACCGCTGCCAGTTCTGGGTCAATCAAGAAGCCTCTAGCGTCGCCCTCCTTCCAGTCCGCATTGATCATGATGTTGTATGCACTGATGTCCCGATGCATCACACCCCGTAGCCACATATTGCTGAGACCTGTGCACATGTCAGAAACAAGCCATGTACAACTTGTGGCACTCATACCTTTCATCGCGTCCCGCATCGCCTCGGTGAGCTCACGCGTGGAACCAAACAAATATAGAGGTTTGCCTATCGATTGCAAGATGGTCCTATAGTGTGTTCTTTCAATGAACCGTGGGACACCCAAAGTCGCATTGACCATTCCAGCAAGTGTAGAGTGGAAGTCGTTCGTATGTTGACCGAGATCCGCAGAACGAAGAGTCTTCGCGACACCAAAGACAGACGAATCATTCCCGAAAATCCTGCTATATATATCTCCCTCGCTCATGCGCGTTGATTCTCTCCATGTGTCCTTGATTATAACGAAGTCGGATGATCCATCAGCTAAGGTAGCAAGCCAGACACGGGTACCGCGGCCAAACATAGTCCTCGAAGTGAAAATGGGAGGTCCCATCGTCATGTATTCTTCGCTTAAGCCCCCTGGTCCCGCCCCGGGCATTTCGAGGTAAGTGCTGGGTGTGAGCAAAATGTTGGAGGGCGTGAGGGCCTCGTACTTGGGCACAAGGTTCTTCCGCTACGCCTCCTTATACTTCTCGCCGAAGATGAGGACATCCTTGCCTTTGCCATCCAGCACGGTCGGATCATGACCAGCATGCCCATGCAGAGAGAGTCCGTACAGGAGGCGGAACAGCGGAGTTGAATCCTCTTGATAGTAGAACAACCCCGAAACCAAGAGCACTGACCGATCCCATCTGAAAAACCGAGCACGCTTCCCAAATATGCCGATACCCAGAAGGTAACATCGCGGACTGTAGCTGAGAGCAACGGCCGCGTACTCCTGGATCTGATTCCACACCTCTATATTGCTAAGGTACAACTTGCCGCTGTCATTCTCATGGAAAGGATCGTCTTTGTCTTCCCGTTTAACTTCGATAAAGACGTGAGAAGCAACCCAATGTTCTCCCAGACCTGAGAGAACACCCCAGTTTATGGTGAGATCAGGCGCCAATGCTGGACCACCTGGGTAACCTTGAGGTCTCAGCGAGGATGTATTCTGAGGATTGAAGACGAGATTGTGTGGCTGGCGCGCGAGGAGCTTCAATGCATATATCTATTGTCATAGTCAAGCAGGATACAAAGGGGAGAAAATATGACATGTACCACAGGATCATACATTGACTTCTCGGTCACATTGGGTCCAGTGGGCACTGCCTCTAGAGCTGCGTGGAAGTTGTTGGGCGACTTGATCCGAGTCAACTCCTCATGTTTATCGGGAAATGTCCAGAGTAGGAATTGGGAAAGAGGTACAGGCCCATAAAAGTGCTTAGAAACTTCTTCACCAGCCCACTGTCTATGGGTATGGTGTTCCACCTTCGAAGACTTATAATTTCCAATAGATCCAAGCTTATGTTGAGAAGGGCGGTGCAGTGCGTTCGGTTCCGAAGGCACATTCCCAGAGCGCACGTCGAAAGATATGGATTCAGAAAGGGTAGCAGATTCCATAATGTCAGACTTTCCAGCTCAGAACAGCGGGGGCGAAACGTACCGAATCGCAGAGCGTGCAGGAATTTATAGAGTCCCAGCTCGTGTTCGACATGATG